TTCCTGGATGAGGTGCTTGGGTTGCCTCCTATTAGGGAGATGGAGTTTAGCATTGACTTGGTTTCAGGTGCGGGGCCATTGTTGGTGGCTCCCTATAAGATGGCTCTTGCTGAGCTGGTTGAGCTGAAAGGTCAGTTGGAGGACCTGTTAGAGAAGCAGTAGATGCGGCCGAGTGTTTCGCCGTGGGGTGCTCCCGTGCTGTTGGTGAATGGTCGAGTTCGAACCTTGATATGCTAAGGACGAGTCCGAACCTTGAGATCACATTTTCTTAACCAAGGTCGAGTTCGAACCTTGATATGCCAAGGTCGAATCCAAACCTTGAGATCACATTTTCTTAACCAAGGTCGAGTTCGAACCTTGATATGCCAAGGTCGAGTCCAAACCTTGAGATCACATTTTCTTAACCAAGGTCGAGCTCGAACCTTCAAACAATAAATTTAGGAGCTCCTCAGAAGCCCATTCGCTCTTACATCACTCGGTGCTTGGGGGGCAAGTGTACTGGTCAGCCAAGTTTTCGACTTGTCCCTCACCAATCTATTGACTCAATCAAAGGTTTACCAGCCTGACCAAGCAGTAAACTCATCATTGTCGAGTTCCTCAGCTCGGCCATGAAACATGGACATCGGAATACCACATCGGCCCAAAGAGGCAACGTCATCAAACAGATAAAAATACAATTTTGTTACCACACCGCCTGCACGTTCTCGAGAACGAGGCGATAGTTGCAACACATGGCATCTTGACAGACAAGCATACGCGAAAAGTCACTGCTCCCTGACGAGGTCGGTCTTAACTCCTCGACCTGTGAAATTAGTTTATTTAGGAATGGAGGCCTTGAGTGGTGTTGGCGATGGCGTAGAGAGTTATTTCAGTGGGAAGAAGATCTATTAAATTCTATTACAACAAAAATCAGTGAGCTAAATCTGAAGGTTGATGTAGAAGACTATTGGAGTTGGACTGCTGATCCCAGTGGCATTTACTCTGTCAAGTCTGCATATAAGGAGATTAGAAATGATAGGATTTTTGCATCCAATAAATTTTTTTCAAAGGTATGGTCTCAGGTAGTTCCAACAAAGGTTACAGCTTTCGCTTGGAAGGTAATTCTTAACCGAGTTGCTACTAAACACAATTTTTTTATTAGAGGCATTTTGGACAGTTCTCAAGTTGAGTGCCCTCGCTGCACAGGTCACACGGAGACTAGATCACATATGTTTTTTGAGTGTCATGTATCTTATCGAGTTTGGATAGATTATTTTAACTGGTTAGCTGTTAGCACAGTTATGCATAATAATTGTGCAATGCACTTGGAACAATTCTCTAGTCTTTCTTTATGTAACTCTCGGAAAAAGGATTGTTGGATATCTATTTGGTTAGCCATCATATGGATAGTGTGGTTGGCTAGGAATGAAGTGGTCTTCTCTTCCACTCAAATATCTGTATTGGAGATGATAGATTTTGGTTAAAATTAGAACCTGGAACTGGTTAAGGACAAGGCATAAAATTTTTAGGTATGACTTTGCTTCTTGGTCAATAAATTCAGCAGCTTGCCTCACCTAGGTAAATGTATTCAGATGGTAAATGAGACTACTATAGAAATCTGATTCTGCAATTTCTATCTCAAAATTGTGGGTTTGGATGTGATGGACTAGCTTAGGTTCCTAGTTTTAGAACAATATTTTTAGTGGTACATAGTACACATATCACATGTGGTATTTTTGTAATGAGTTGGAGTACCCCTTGTACTTCCTTTTATTTTTAATTATTTGGATTATCAAAAAAAAAAAGTTTATTTAGGTATGTATGAATTTGTTCACTTTAGTTTTTATTTGTAATTAATTTGCATTATATGAATGAAAAGAGAATTTTTGTGAAATTAGTTTATTTAGGAATGGAGGCCTTGAGTGGTGTTGGCGATGGCGTAGAGAGTTATTTCAGTGGGAAGAAGATCTATTAAATTCTATTACAACAAAAATCAGTGAGCTAAATCTGAAGGTTGATGTAGAAGACTATTGGAGTTGGACTGCTGATCCCAGTGGCATTTACTCTGTCAAGTCTGCATATAAGGAGATTAGAAATGATAGGATTTTTGCATCCAATAAATTTTTTTCAAAGGTATGGTCTCAGGTAGTTCCAACAAAGGTTACAGCTTTCGCTTGGAAGGTAATTCTTAACCGAGTTGCTACTAAACACAATTTTTTTATTAGAGGCATTTTGGACAGTTCTCAAGTTGAGTGCCCTCGCTGCACAGGTCACACGGAGACTAGATCACATATGTTTTTTGAGTGTCATGTATCTTATCGAGTTTGGATAGATTATTTTAACTGGTTAGCTGTTAGCACAGTTATGCATAATAATTGTGCAATGCACTTGGAACAATTCTCTAGTCTTTCTTTATGTAACTCTCGGAAAAAGGATTGTTGGATATCTATTTGGTTAGCCATCATATGGATAGTGTGGTTGGCTAGGAATGAAGTGGTCTTCTCTTCCACTCAAATATCTGTATTGGAGATGATAGATTTTGGTAAAACGCTACTCTAACTAAGGTAGTCTACAAAATAAAATTGAATCATCTACTACAACTCTTGCCATCTAGGTGGCCTCCATAGCAAACACCAACATATCCTGCCCTGTTCTCATACATCGTATGATCATTGCAGTCAAAGCCACATGGAGACATGCAAGGGTAAGCTAGTGAAAATAAACAACTCATATATATGAAATATACAACAGAGGCAACTTAGCATCACTGTTATCATCTTCATCAACTTGTTCAACATACAATACATAATACTTAAACAACATATGAATATAAAAGCAACTTGCAACACATCACTATCAACAATAACAACTTATTCATCATACAACACACAACACATAGACAAAACACAACTTTACAACAACTTCAAAACATATCATTACATACAACTCATCAACACATATGCATCGTCACACATTTCAATTCAGAGATCTCTTACAAAATAGGATGAGTAGTCTAAGTGGCTAGATCCTACCGAACCGAAAACATAGAACCTTTTTGGGCTTGCTAGGTAAATAGAAAATTTGGATAAAAATCACTACAAGAAAAACTCGGTAAGAACAGAGGGTCTAACAACCTTTCTTATACTAGTTTTGCAAGTCTAGCAACCTTTTTTGATTTGTGCTAGTTTTGAGGGTCTATCAACTTTTTCTGATCTTGTACTTGAGGAACTTGACGGTGTCCTCTCATTGATGTTACGGTATATCCCTCGGGTTGACAAGTAGGGGAATGCCTGTGATGCCCTCCGTTTTTGGGCTAAGGTTAACGAGATGTGTGATGCCCCGTTAGGTGAGTATTATAGTGTCTCTCCAGACATCTTCATTGGAAAATGAGATGAGTGGCAGGGATTATAATGTTAGCCCCTTTCGTTTATCCATGGTGTTAGGCTTCTTTGGAGTCATAATGAAGTGATAAAAGAGTGAGAATCAACGGGTATGTGGAGAAGAACAAGAGTTTTGAAGGGGGGCCACAAGAGGGAGAGGTTTGAAATGGTTTTGGAGGTCTGCACTATTTCATTCAAATAATAAGGAAGAGGGAGAGAGGTTAAATGAGTTTTAATGCTCCTTGTAACTTCTTAGGAAGTTACCGTTCAAGGACAATGGTAACATCAAGTGGCCTCTAATCCCTATTTTAAACACTTTATTTCATTTTAATGGCCAAAAGACTACTTATTCAGAAATTGATTTCAGAAGCACCCTAAGTGACATTTCAGAACACACTTACATTTATCAAATAAAAAATTGAGCATCAAACAAGCGTATATCATTCAATAATATCATACATGGGTTTAATATTTAACTTTAATAAATTTGAACCTATCCTCTTGTAGTGGCTCGATGAAGATGTCAGCCAATTGAAATTTGATTTCAACAAACTTAATTTTAATCTCTTACTTCTGAACATTATCTCTTATAAAATGATGTTTCACATCTATGTGCTTTAATCTGGAATGATGAATATGATTCTTTGACAACTCAATTTCACCTATGTTATCACACAATATTGGGATCTTTCCAAAACAAAGAAAGTAATCCATAAGTTATTTTTTGATCCACATAACTTATGTACAATAGGTTGCAACAACAAAATATTCAACTTTTGTAGTTGACAATGCAATGGTTGCTTGTTTTCTTAAAGCCCAAGACACAAGTGATTTACCAAGTAATTGACAAATTCACTTGCATTCTTTCTCTCTACCTTGTCTCTAGCAAAGTCAACATCATTATAACATGTTATTTCAAACTTTGTTCCTCTTTCAAACCATAAACCATGATTGGTGGTTCCACTAAGATATCTAAAAATCCTCCTCACAACTATTATAACTTGTGAGGGATGCATAGGTGTGCTCATAGTTTTTGCCTCATTCGTTCTAAATCTTTTCAAAAGAATTTTGGTGTATTTCTCTTGATGAATAAAAAAACCTTACTCTAGTTGTAGAATTTGTAATTTGAGTTCTCTCATCATACTCATCTCAAATTATCTTTTCATGAGTTCAAAGAATTCTTTACACATTTTTTGAGAAGTTGCTCCAAACATCATGTCATCCACATAAATATGGATTATCAGAAGATGATCCTTCTTAAACTTTCTGAATATGATAGTATCAAGTTTTTGAAGATAAAAATTACGGAGAAAAAGCTTGAAAATTATGATTAAAGGTTAAAAAATGATTTTTCAGCTAACTTTTGTTTTTTTTTCATTTTAATCCAAGAATTAATTTATATACAAAATCAATTACTGAAAATAAATTCATACCTTTTTTTTTTAATAAATTTACTATAAAAATAATTATTGTAATCAATTCAAACAAAATATACGATCTTAAAAACACTTTTCACCTAACATATTTAAACATAAAACTTATATTTATGACAACAATTGATTACATCTATAGTCAACTACTAGCATAAACTCTAAAAATAATCCATCTGAAATGCTGATGGATATAATCTATAACCAATCATTAAAATCTCTAGCAAAAATATCTACAATCATTTGGAGAAATTCTGATACAATATCTAGCAAGTTTCTGAACCATTTTTAAAACATCCCCAACTCAGAGAGCTGGCACGTGCATCCTGTAATAATAGTTACAACCATAGATGGCAATTGGGAAGGGAATTATAATATAAATATATGCTATGGGAGTGTATCATCGTGATTCATCATGAAGCACAGTCTTGTCATTAACAAAACCAAAATTTCTAAAAAGACCCTGCATCATGGAAGAAAACCAACCAGTAAATGCTTATCCACTATTGTCCCTCAAAGCTTCCATAACACATCCAAAAATAGGAGAAACGCAATAAATTTACTCACCCATCGTTTTAAAAAATTTCTTATAAAAGCTCTTTTTTTAAATAAAATAAGTACTTTTTACTTTTTGACATATTTGTTTTAACTTTTTCAAAAATTAAGCAATTTATTGGATATTTTAAGAAATGACTCCTATTTGTTTCTTAAAGAAATTTTTTTTTAAAAGCACTTATTTAGAAACACTTCCTTTTAAGTTTAAACATACAGATCCTATATTTTTGGATTACTTGCACTTTTTGCCACTAATGTTTCACAATGAGGTGAATTTCATCACCTAACTTTCAAAATTGCACATTTTGCCATCCATTGTCGACTACTTAACATCGTTAGTGGGTTGTTATAGTCACAGCTAGAAGTGGGCAAAAAAATTGCTTTGGTAGTGAACTAAACTACACTGCATTATAAAAAATTGAAATTATTTGTAAAAAAATTGAAATAAGCTGCTTTAAAAAAATGAATCAAGCTATTTAAAAATTGAACTGAACAACAAAAACTGAACTATTTCTATAAAAAGAATAAAAATTAAATGTACCTAAAATCATCCGTCTTGATGGGTTAGCCTGATAACCCAACAACCTAAGCTTCGAAGAAAGTGATAAAAAAAAATTGTGGGACATTTTGGCTGAACCCGCATGAGCCAACCAAACTATTTTGGGCTACTAATTTTGAAGCTTTAACTACCTACAAGGTCTATTTGACCCAATAAAATTTTTATATATATTTTCCTACAAAAAATTTAAATAAAATAGAAAATAAAATAAAGTTACCAAGTTTGTTTTGTCTTGACAGACCACCAAGTCAAATCAGTTCAATTTAAAGCAGTTTAGTGCAACTCAAATTGCAGTTCAATTTAAACTTTTATAGTGCAGTTCAATTCAATGAAACAAAGAACAGTTTCGTTCACCTGAACTAATGTACAATTCAGTTCAGGCAAACTTTTTTTTTTCAAAATTCAATGCAGTTTTTATTAGTTCAGTTCAATTCATTTTGAACACTCCTGGTTAAATGTTAACCGCCAACATGACATGTTAACTGTTGACATAGATTGTTGATATGACATGGATGATAGTATGGCATAATATGTCACATCGATAATTAACACATCAACAATCAACTAACAACATCAAACAATCAATTAACAAAGAGACCAAATGTGCAAAATTTTGAAAATTAGGCAGCAAAACAGTTCAATTCAAAGTATCTTAATAGTTCAACGCAGTTCACATTGCAGTTCAGTTCAAACTTTTATAATTTTGAACTTTTATAATGCAGTTCAGTTTAATGAAACAGAACAATTTCGTTCACCTGAACTAATGTACAGTTCAATTCAGGCAAACTTTTTTTAAATCAAGTACAATTTTTGTAAGTTTAGTTCAATTCATTTTGCCTACCCATGTTACACGTTAACCGCCGACATGACATGTTGACCGTTGACATAGATTGTTGATATGACATAGATGATGCGGTGGCATAATATGACACATCAACAATTAACTCACCACATCAATGGTCAACTAATAACGTCAAACAATCAACTAACAAAGTAACAAAATGTACAAAATTTTGAAAATTAAGTGACAAAATATGCATTTTAAAGTTAGATGACAAAATGGTAAAATCGTACAACATGAGGGGCAAAAATTACAATTAAGCTCAATCATGTTAGCTCCCATCCACATTGATCCCTTCATCTCAACATCAGATTCAAAGCTAGCTAGAAAATGCTACCCTAAATAATTAGACCTCGACATTACAAAGCCACATGTCAATTAATTTGTGGATTGATTTAAACAATTTGTTATATCATATTCATATTAAGATACGATTACCAATTTGATACATAGGACATAACAAGAATGATTAAGAACATACCATGCCATCATTGATTGCATAAGCCACACAGTAATGCTCCTGAAATTCAATAGTACAGGAGATGAGAAGAAAATTCAGATAGTAGTAGTGGAAGAAATAAGAGGAACTCATCACTATTGATAGCAAATCATGTTATTGACTGTGGGTCATGTCACCGATTGCTTGCATTAAACTGGGCTAATGATCACATAAAAAATTTCATATTTATTTTTCAACTCGGACCATTGATTCCTAAATAGAAGAAACAATGACTACTGCAACTCACACCTCAACTTCAAATGAGAGAGAAAATCAACTCTGGTCTAGGCCCACCCTTCAAAGCCCCAGCAAAATCTATAGAAGAGAATTCAGACATTATACAGCACCTAACTGCAGGAATAGAAAAAGGACTCACCTGCATCATGTACCACTCTTCAAATTCATCAAACAATTCCAGCCGTTCAATCCTATAAATGGTATAGCATCACAAATTAGTTTATTTTGACATAACCTACAAAAGCAGCAAGCTACCAACCATGTTACCATAGAGTAGGAAAAAAGAGCAAAAGGGGGATGGGGAATCAGGGAAGAACTTCCTTAGTGCCTTTCTTGTGAATATGAATTTTAGTATCTGACATAAATCAAATAGTTCCATCGTTTGATCATCATAAGATATTGGTAGAACATAATACTTTATACAGGTTAAATCTTGGTGGGGATAAAAACCAAGCAAAAGGCTTTTTACCTAAAAGAGAAGCCAAGAAATGGAAGCATCAAGAAAAGCAACTACTGCAGATGCTACTCAGGCAAAACTAATGGGGAACCACTACCCTTCCCATCTCAAGAAATTTGGCTAATTCCACTCTTCTATTATATTATATTTGTACACCATGACTTGTAAATAATTAGAACCAACATGAAACAATCTATTTGTTCGTTAACATTAAGTGTATATATAATTCTCAATTATTTTATTATGCTTTTATTTGTTACAATTTACTTACAATATTTTAAGGTACGTATAATATATATCAAAATTAGCAAATCAGTGAGAGATGTCCTAGAAATGTAGCTGTCTCACACCCCTGGTTTTGTTCAAGATGTGGTCTGCTCCACTCCCAATCCCAGATGCAAGCCCAGCCACACTTCTAGCCCTAGATGCTGTTAGGATCCTCTTTTTAGCGCAAGAAACAATAAATCCTAACAGAGAGTAATTGCACACACAGAAAAAGATTCCGAATTTCCTCCCTTTATTACAAAAAACTGATTACAGACCAAGAACCAAGGTATACAAGTATATCCACAAAAGGAGCACTCTCCTTTTCACGCTGGAAACGGCCGGCTAGAAAGATTATATAAAAACTGCCTCCTCAAAACAATAGAAGGCTTGTTTATGGGATCCACATCAGACTAACTGATTTAATGAAGTCAGCTTCCCAAATCACAGTTACAAATTGACCCAGTTAACTACCAGATTGACCCTTAACTCTTTGTATAACGTTGTTCCCTTAAAGTTTGTTGCTCTGACTCAGTCCTAACAGCTGTCGCCTCCTACTGTTATATTTTTATTTTATTTCTTGTGGATGAGTAGTCTTTGATTATGACAAGTTTAAAGCTTAGTGAGCTTAAGCTTGAAGAGAATTGTTAGAATATCTAAAATATACCAAAAATCGTTATTTTATCTTAGCTTATCTTAAATGATCACTTTGAGTGGTTTCAATATTTCATTATATTTCCTTAATTGTTTTTGTAAGGAATTCGGATACAATTGCTAGGTATGTGACTCAAGTCCCATGTTGAAAGTATGTGATTCTAGACTCAAGTATAGGACTTATAAAACCGTGGGCTCCTTAACTATAATGGCCGACTTTTATGGTACAGTTTCCTCAAAGGTTCTTATCAATTGGTATTAGATCCTTCCATCATGTCTCTCAATTGCATAGAGTGGGGCGGCAGCAATGATGATATTGCCGTATTTACCCAAGAGTAGACAAAGGACTAGCCAAAGTTCCCTTATTTAGTTAGTATTAAAACTTAAGCATAGAACTAGTTCAAGGGTTAGAACTTTGCATTTTGCATCACATCATATCCCACCATTATAAATAATAGAATGTTATTCTTTTACGTGGTTCCTAGTATCTTTACCTCCATCACCACCTACATCCCTATAATTACATTTCACCAGCGTACATACTAAACAATGTGAAACTAATTTTAAGCTCATAAAATTACCACCAACATTGGAGTAGTTTAATGTCTGTCAAATCCTAATTATGTTTTTTATTTGATAACTCCGGACATATCCATTGGTATCATTAAATGCTCACTGTATGAAATAGATAAATATACAATTTGTAAGTACACAAGTGAAAAGGCCATATAGTATGACGCGATTGCACCAGAAACAACAAGAGGACCAAGAATGACTAGTGTCTAGAAGAGGATACCACAATTTTGTTTTATGAAATTTACTCTTCACGACACACTAGCAGTCCCCAAGGCTAATGCTGTCGCAAACAATTAGAATCATCCCATTTTAAGAGAATAAGTCAATTGTATTGACACCATTAGTTAGTTAATTGCCTTTAGCATCAAACATCAGCAAACATGCAAGAGTCTGTAAATTTAATACACAAGCTTCTAGGTATGATTCGATTACCTGCGTCTTTCTTGAGCATCAATAAAATCGTTATAAACTCTCAGCATGTCCCATGCAACAGATTTCTGATACCCACACAAAACAAAGAGCATAATAATATTAATATATTAGTCATAGAATAAATACACATTAAGACTGCACAGCATGATGAATTGATGATTCATAAAAATGAAATATTAACATTTATAATAGGATTTGAAATGACGAAAAGGTGAAATTTCATAGAACAGTAATAACCCTGAAAATGTGTTTTAAATATGATAATTTCAATGTAACCCATCATATCAAGAGAATAGAAATGGTAGTTAAGTGGCACCAAGTCACTCTGGGAGCTACTCCAACTAGGGATTAAATTTCTTCCAAACCCATTTTTCTGCACCTCAGCCTATAATCCCTCAACCAAATGATATCACTAACCTCACTTGAAAGAAAGAAAGAAAATTGAATTCAGAGATGATATTCTCTAACAGAAGTGAAAAAAAGATATGGTGATACTATTTTTTTAATATAAATTGCTTAGTACAGGCAGAGGTCCTCCTAGTGCATAATGTCACTTAATGAGAATTTCCAGCCATTACTGTTCTCAGCTAAGATATTGATGATAATTGATTAAGATGGCTTCTAGCTAGTAGCTACAATGATTAAAAAAATATATAAATTATTGACAATCTCTAAATGAGAATTTTCCCATCCTATTTTTAAGAGAATAGTTGCAGATTGCTAACTGTTTCTAGTTTAATCTTCTTTGTTGCTATTCATGCCTAAAAGACTCCTTTATTATTATTTGGAAAGTTTTCTGCAAAATAGAAATCAAATCATATACTCTCTCCAACCCTTATTATAAGGCACTTTTAACTAAATCACACATCAATATAAGTAATTATGTTAGTTGATTTTATTGGATTTATAAAACAAAATCATGATGTATCAATTTTACCCTTCTTACTAATCATTATATTTTCAAGAGAGAAGCTTTTGCACCAATACCGATAAAATTAATATATAACAATTAGAGAGTCTAAGAGGAGAGAGAGAGAACGTTTATTTCTCAAATTCTCTTCTCATTATCCGACAACAAGAAGTACATATTCTTACAATCTTTAATAGGAACAAAAGACGAAAAATAAAACTAATGCTTTATAGAAATTGTAAAATGCCTTACAAAAAGGATTGTCATATCCTTCTAAATTATGCCTTATAATAAGGACCGGAGGAAGTATCACATATAAAATACATTACAAATGCCAAAAAAAAAAAAAATACACCAATGATGTATTATTTAGAAAAAGTTACAAAATATACCTGCCATCCTTGGTCCAGAAATAATTTTTCCTTTGCATGTAAAGTTGGTGTAGCATAAATGCCCAATAGAGCACAACCTCGAGACTGACACAAAACAGGAAAGGAAAATCATATTATGGACTTAAACACATCAAAGGCATACTAATAATTAATAATCAAGTGATAATCTCAACATATGATCAGTAATCACCATCAATCAGAGGAATAATTAACAAGACTAACAAGATAATAGCAACAAAAGTCAAGGAACATAAGAAGAAAGATAAAGACAGCACCAAATATTAAATAAGCTTCCTCTAATGCAGTAAGTCTTAAAGCAATCAAATTCAATACAAGTTTTTCCTTAATCAGAATAACGACCACAAAAGAAGACCTGTCATAAAAAAATTGTGGGGGACATGGGAAAGAAGTCCTTTAAAGGAAGATTATTAAATAATGGGTAAAAAGCAGAATACATTCAAGAAGAACAGAAATCAAGCTATGATGTGTGAATAGATCAAAGGTAGACCAAAAACCTAGATGCTGGCAAGCAGTAGGTCACTGCCTAGAAAGGAGCCAACTAAAGTGGCTTATTTTACATAGAAACACAAGTACCAATGTGTGTTTTGGCATCCAAACAGAAACCCTGTAATGCTTCTGATGAGGAAAAAAAGAGACATAGAGAGAGAAAGAGAGAAATCATGAAAATACCCAAAAAATATTGGGTTGGTAACTCCAAAAAATGGGGTCAAAAAGATGGGTTTTTACCGCTATACAGCATATCGAACACAATTTACCAAGATAGCATCCTTAATCACAGGCTTCACAACCAGGAAAGAAAATGTGACATGATGAACAGTCTGCAGTGGCCTGACATATGACACACTAGTCTAATGCTATAGTGCACAATTGACCATCCTGCTTTGGTTAAGACAACACTTGACATACCAAGGTAATCCCTTCCCACAAATATTCTTTAGTTCAGTTTGAATCTCAGACATTGCAGATGATGTTTGTCTTTTTAGGGCTCCAACTTGCTAACACTTCTTACACCCTTATAAGTTCAAAAGTATTATAATTAACAAAAACAAAGGTACAGCACAGCAATTAGAAAAATTGAAGAAAAAACTGCAAAGTTCAAATGCATTGCTAGAGAGAGAAGCAATTCCACTTTTGAGATCAGATATGTCTGGGTAATTTGAAATAAATCAATTGTAACCTGAAAACCATGGTATAGAACAAAACTTTGACATCCATACCTCCAAATTTCTCATCATCTGCTGCCCAAAAGCATCATCTGGGAGGATCTGTTAAGAAAGTACCATATAATGCACAAAAAATCCTACTTTATTCCTATGAAAATAGTAGACTAGTAGTGGTAAAATAAGTATGAAGGCTGTAACCTGCTCATAAAGAAAAAATACTGCTGTAGTAAATGTTTGCGAAGCCCAACCAACAACTGCACGACTTGAATCTGGATCCAAGTAGATCAGAACACATTCTGAAATTATAAAAGTTGGCAGACTGATAACAATATCAGAATGAATCAATTTATCATTCCTTGATCATGAAAAGTGTGAGTATTAACTAAACTTTAAATTAAAATAAAATACACACACACATACCAACAAAATTAAGAAAAAAAAACTAAAGAATATCCGACTACATATTAGCATCAAATCCTCCAGCTTTAGTGTCTTTAGCAAACATAAGATACAGAACATAACAACTACACTTATATAACAAGTTAGAAGCATGAAAATATAAAAAAGTGAAAATTAAGAACTTTTATGGCTGAATTTGGTTTCTTCCCGTCATTTTCTTAAATATATAAATCTTAGATGTATAAAGGGACACATTTGCTTTCCAATTATAAGCATTATCTTCAAAGCCATTTTCAATTTTAAAACTTCTAGATTCTATGAGATCTTTGTATTTATATTTTATCAATTTCCCAAGAGATGCAGGCGACTTCTAACAAATTATTATTTAAAAATAACAATATTAGAGTGTAAGTGTAATATGACAAATATTACTTTTTCATTCTGTTATAACAATAGAATATTCTAGTAGGTTTGTTGTGCCAGCTGTCATAGTTTGTTATTTTTGTAATCAGCTTTTTACAGCTGTACCAATAAGGGTAGCTATGCTCCCTCTGTATTCTGTTTTCAGTGGGTTGAATAAAATGAAAACTTCATTTCCAGTTTAACATTTTCTCTCTGAAATTTATCTAAGAAACAAATTAACTCTATCAATGGCACAGGCATTAAGGAACTTTTTTAAGTTGTATAATTTTAAGCTGTTAATGAACCACAATACTGTGGCCCAAATATTAAAATCAGAAGCATTATCTTTTATTAAAACAATATAAGAGACAAAATTCATTAGAGACGAGAAAGAAAAGTACAGAAGAAGCAAAGGATAAGATATCAGTACAGCTAAGTCTTTGTAATCCTTATTTATTTAAACTTTCAGATTCTAAGGAGTTTTTTATTCTTTTCCTAGAAGGGTCTGATATCTTCAAATAAATTATCAATTGCATTGGAATAATAACAAATTTCACAACTTACATCTGTACAAGAGAGAGAGAGAGAGAAATTGAAACAGACAGACAGAACACAGGCAGAGACAGATCTGACTCCCCATACATACCTTGGATCCATACCAGCAACAGATATAATATCATTTAATTGTTGTACATAACGCAAATCTGCAGGGACTAGTTTATAATGAGCACTGACAACTTCTCCTTTCTCTGGCAGAGAATGAGACATCAAAAGCATCAGTTCAGATTATAAGCAATCATGCATTCTAATTTTCATTAATGATGTTTCAAGAAAATCACAATGAAAAGCTCATATTGATTTTATCATCCATTAAATGCTACAAGTCAGTTCTTCAAATGTTTGTAGTTCTAAGATTAAGCTTGGTGGCTGAATCAAAGTTTATCTAGCCTTTTGCAGAGCTTTTGGTTCATCAATGCATTTTTCTCAATCATGCAATTTATTTTTATCTAATTTAACTTGACAGATTACTTTATGGGTCTAGGTCCCAACTCCAACTTTCCTCACAGATAATTTATTTAAAGTGTGTTTGGATGGGGGATTTTAAGAGAGTAATTCATTATTTTGAAGAATTTGAAATACTTTTGAGTAAAATGCTTTGTTTAGATAGAGAATTTATTTAAAAAAATTGAAATTCAAGCATTTGTGAAATTAATTATAGACTTTTTTAATTATAATGAACAATCAATAAATATAATCAAGGTTCTCAATCTCGAGAGTTTACATAATTTTGTTGAGACCCTGTAAACCCGAACCATAAACTTGTAAGAGTTTACTTAATATAAAGAATATGTTATACTACTTATAAATAACATAATAACTCAACATTTCAAATCCATATTAAAGTAAAATAGCAAATTACAATATTAAAGTAGCAATGTTTACTAGCAAATCATGCAAAATTTCACACAAGACACAAGTTCTTAAAATGACAACAAATAAAAACTAGGAAAAGACTAAATTTTGCTTTTAGCAATAGAGGAGACAAGATTGCTCAAGATTGGGTGATATTACACGAGATTGCTCAAAAAACGAGTTTGCTTCCAAGTTATATAGGTGGGGATGACCAATCTCGTTAACTCGATAGTTATTATGAGTTGTCACTCAAGATTGACAACCATAAATATAATGCTTTTGGAATTTATAAATATTTTATTGCACCTTATAAGAAACTAAAATATCCTTTAAAGTACCACCATCCCTCTTGGTATCATTATATGCATTTTCCTTTCACTTGTTTGTTTAAAGAATCGATGAGAGGAAATAGTTACAAAACTAGGGGGATAAAATCTCTAGGGTTTGAAAACTTTAACAGGTGAGATTTTTAACTCTAAATTTATATTGGCACTCTGTCACCATGTGCTACCAGAAAAGAAAAGGACATCACTGAAATAAGATAACAAAAAACATCAGAAAATGACCCTTACCTCTTGATATGGTTGCTAATTCACCAAGTTTATTCCTCAATTGACTGTGAGTCTCAATAAGAGCTGCCTTTTTACTAGTTACCTTGATTACAAATACAATAGTAGTTTAAATTTCTATACTAATAGTTGCAGTTAAAAACTTTCCACTTAAAAAATCTAAAAAACTTGTTCTCCCTTTATTTTGTAATTAGATGTAATTTTAGTCAATTAAATATAACCTTAGTCAACACAGATAGTATTAAACATGAGTTTCTAGACAAAATATGTATAACCAATCCAACTCAAAACCCATAAACAACTAGAAATATAGGTTGCATTGGCAACTAAAAATTAGATGAGTATACAAGTTTCTACCTCCTTAAAATCCACTTCCACATACAAATATGGCGCTTTCCCCTCATCCTGCCAAGAAAAGATTTTTAAGTTATAACACAGCTGTAAAATTAGCACAACACTAGTTCAGTGAAGCTAAGCAAACAGTTTGCTAAGAAAAAAATGGAACTAATGGTAAAGGGTAACAAAGTAAAAGGTTTCACAATTTCCAACTACATCCAGAGTCATATGGAGGCTATTGAAAAGCAGCCAAAGAATCCAATTAAGCTGCATACAAATATATTTTTGCATCTTTGACGTGCATAGGTTAAAGAAGAAAGCATTTTTTTTCAGTAGAAGGCAACAATAACTCTATAATCTAACGTAACAAAACAACAATGAGATTAAAGATAATAGGAAACACAGAAGCTTTACACTACTTATACAACAAATTAAGTTAACTGTTTAAGCTTATAAATAAAGTATGATTCACGCATATTACTGTATCATAATTGAAATAAATATACACCAAAAACTTGGCAAAGTATGAGATCATTTTTAGCCCTACAAAACAGCACAACACCAACAATAACCGCACTATTTTTGGAGCCATCAGAATAAACATAGGAAAAGCAAAGAGAACAAGAACAGAAACAGAAGGGAAAGCAAAAGAGCCAATCACAGAGAATTCACAAGGCATGGATAGAGTCTGGCATACATATACATGTATTATAATATTCCACATCTCAGTAATTCAACTTAAAATTATAAGAAAAGACAAGTCTAAAAGCCTTGAAATTTATTAACAGGTAATAAGTAATTTAAACACTATTTATTCATCCAGATTCATACCTCTCCTCATACATTGTCTATATTTTTCTTTAAACAAACTTGTATAACTAACACCACCCAGTTCTGAAAGGAGGTTACAGTCCACAACAAAAATAAAAATAAATAAAAATAAAAGATTTTCAGCTAAAATACATCTGTGCATCAAGAACTTAAGTTTCAAAATAATTCAGGCACCCAATGTCTGCATCTTGTGTACTAGAGTATGACATTCAGTCTTAACAATTGAGATTGCAAAAGCAGCAAGCAGTTAGCACAAGAGCACCAACAAGAATGAAATCAAAAGTGTCTTCATGTCCTTTTAAAACACAACGTAATAAAAGTTCACCAATATTTATATGCAAAAGCATTGGATCAATATTAGTTCTATCCAAATCTTCACTTAACCTGCAAGGCTCCAAAAGGATAGCTAACCTATAGCTTAAAAGGCACACGTAGATTAACTTTTAAGCACAGCTTGTACAGTACAATTTATAAGGAAAATCAGGTACCTGCAACTGAAAATATGTTGTATCAAAGCCTGCTCCAAGTGATAATATCTGCTTCTTTATTGGGGCATCTCCATCAGCCTTTTTATCAACATCAAGAAACTGATAGAGAAGTTTCCGAAAAGCAGCCCAACGAGCATAGTAGCCTTCATAATCAAACAATAAAAATGCATTAATAAACTAACATGTTGAAGGGTAGGTACCTAAACAAGTAAAATCCTTAAAAAAGCCAAATCCTACCACGATTAATAATTGGAGATCTCCTCAGAGGCCTTCTCACAAATAAATGAATATAATCATCTTTCATGTATCCCTTTTTTACACATGACCTACAGACAGTTTATGGAGAGCAAATAACCATCATGTAAGAATAACAATTATAATTCATTTGAACTCTGATGAAAACTGAATACAAGACGAAAATTTATGACTGAAAATGAATACGAATAATATTTCCATTATCAGAAGCAATATTACATAGACTGTTACTAGGCTTGTGATGCGGAACGGGACTTTTTCCAGTACACAGAGAGGATGGCTAGACCTAATCAGATTGTTACTAAGGATTAAAGTTCATTTAAAGTTAGATAATTGATTCATTATGCATGAACTACAGTCTATACTATTAAGTGGTGAAAATATAGTTTGGATAGACCCATTTTTCAATTTTAGAAAGATAAAACAATGGTTTTAGTCCTTGAAATTGGAAGACACTGACATATTAGTTCCTAAAACTAGAAAAAGGTCAAATAATAAACACGTTTTTTAAAACCTATTTTTTACTCACTAATTTTTATACATATGTTTCAAACTCTATACTGCTTCTTCTCCAGCATAAATGGGCTAGCCAAATTTAAAATATTAGACATTAAAACCTACTTTATTTGTAAAATAGAAGGGGAAAAAAAAAACTAAATGATACTATGCATTTTATATAATTGGGGGTATTAGGTTAGGTTTTCATTTTCTTCCTCTCAGCAATTCTGTATCCTCACTTGGTGCACCCTGTCTTTTTTTTCTGTCAACCCTGCAACTGGCAGCCACGAGAGGTCTTTTAATTCATTGTGTCAACTGTCCATAACACATCCTATTGTGCTTGTTTTTATTACTACTATGTTTAAGTTTGGAATGCTCACAGCAATGTTTTGGGCCATTAACGACCCATGTTGGAGATTTGAGCAAACCATGCCACACAGATCTTAACTTGGAAGAAATACACAAATTAAAAGACACTATCAATTTTCCTTTCTAAAGTGTGTGGTTTCTCAACACACACATTACATATGTGATAGGTTAACGTATTATTTTAACATGTAAAATTAAACCAAGCTGTTATCAATTAAAGAATATAAATGGTATAAGTATAACATAATAGCATTTGAACAAACCAAAAACAAAACAGAGAGAGACAATAACAGTGTTTCATTGAGTTTGTTTCATAATATAAAACTTCACAGCCACTCCAATAAAAGTAATTTATCCAGCCAATGCTCCCTCAAAACCATGTCATGAATAAATAAAATTCTCTTTACACGCAATACACAGTTACATTCCTTCAAAAACCAAAAGCAGTTTCCATCACTCTAGAGCTTTCCAGTACTGAGACAAGGTTCATCTTGATTGGTGCTTATGCAATAGGGACCATCTAACTTAACCTTCTGTAATATTCATCTTCCGCAGGTGCAAATGCAACATTTTTATTGCATCACCCCTTGACAATGGTTTTGAGAAAGCACCAAAGAAGATAAAACTGGGTACACCAGTTTAGATAAAGCATTAAAATTTCACAGTAAAAGACCAAAAAAGACAATGGTCCTGTTTTAATAAACTTCTCCGGTTCTCCATAAGCACTTATAGGTGAAGAAAATAAGAATGTAAAATGAATTGAGCTTCAGGCATAAGCTAAAATCAACCTATGATTTTAACTTTTATAGAAGCTCTCTCATTTAACTTGGCTTATATTTCATTTTATCTTCTTGTTTTCTTCTGCTATAAATGCTTATGGAGAAGTTTATCTGAATAGAGTCTTGGTCATCAATTAAGAGAATGAAGCAATTCCCACAAACTAAACAAAATGAAATCTTAGTTTCCTACAACGGTGGCAAATGAGCAAAATCCAAAACCCAATCTACTTAAAAGGAGTGGAAAAAACGTATCTTAAAAAAAACAACAAAATCTCATCAATTCAAGAATTTTATTCCTTAGTCCGTACAATGGCGCCGAATGAACAAAATCCTAGAGAATAATTTAAATAAAAATAAAAATAAATAAATAAAATGTCTCCGACAAGAAAAAATTAAAATTAACAATAACATGAAAGGGTAAAAAACAACATTGCGCGAGATGTTAGAACAACCCAAAGCTTTTAATAATGAATAATTAAAAATTAAAAAAAAAAAAAGTGAGATTTACGTACAATTTACTGGCTGAAGCGTCATCGTTAGTGGCTTGCACCGATGCATTGTTGCGTGAATCGGCCACCGCTTCCGTCATGGTTGTTCTCTGTGTTTAGGTTTTGCCTAAGTAATAACAGAACAATTGGTGAAGATGGATTCAATAATAAATAAATAGTTTTATAACCTCCACACTTAAAAATAAATATTCTAACAAAATAAAATAAAAATTAATTTTTTCATTAATCTTACTATTAAATTTTACGTAAACTTTTACAAACTTTTATTAATATATAGTTTCTTCGATTTTAATTTATTATAATTATTTATAAATTAAATTTTAA